ATTCTTTTCCTCAATATCAGAGTTATCAGTAGTATGAAAACTTGAATTCACCCAACACAGCTTCCTAACCTGTAAACAATCTAACACGTCTTTCACTCTATCTACAGAGCTATCCCATGTAAGCTCTAAGCTAGTTTAATAAATAATCTGGATCCTAGAACTCCCTATGTAGAACAGGCTGGCCTTGATCTGCTTCTGCCTCCCACATGCTAGGATTAAAAGTTATCAGTAGTATGAAAACTTGAATTCACCCAACACAGCTTCCTAACCTGTAAACAATCTAACACGTCTTTCACTCTATCTACAGAGCTATCCCATGTAAGCTCTAAGCTAGTTTAATAAATAATCTGGATCCTAGAACTCCCTATGTAGAACAGGCTGGCCTTGATCTGCTTCTGCCTCCCACATGCTAGGATTAAAGGTATGTTCCACCTTGCCTAGCTTCATGTTTCTATTTTTAAAACATTTAATTCTTGACAATATTTCTAAATTATCCTAACTTTTAAAATATTAAAAATTTTAAAAAGGCAACCTTCAATCATATGGGGAAAAAATCTCTTAAAAACATAGTTTTCCCCCTCCTTGGCTAACAATCTACTTGGGTTCCTCAAAATGCTTTAGTATTAGGGTTACTGTTTATACTAACAAGACCTCTATACAGACCTTTCCCTCTAAAAATTTAAAAGAAAAACTTTAAACATTTATTAATCTTGTATGTATGAGATCATGGCATGGTCTATATACAAGGGTCAGAGAACAACTTGCAAGAGTCAAGTTTACTCCTTCTGAAACTTGTAGGTCCTAGGGACTGAACTTAGGTGATCAGACTTGACTGCAAGTTGCCTTTACCCCTTGAGCCACCTCATCAGCCCAAATTTTTAATTTTAGACTCAAAGAACAGATTGATAGGTTAAAAACAAAAAAAAATCTGAAAACATTCTGGTCTGAAGAAATGGATGAACAATTAAGAGTACTTGCTGAGAAGCTAGAGAGATGGCTCACTGGTTAAAAGCACTGGTTGCTCTTGCAGAAAACCCAGCATCTATATGGCAACTACCAACTATCGGTAGCTCCAGTTTAAGAGAATCCAGCACTCTCTTCTGACCTTTTGCAGGTATTGCATGACTAGGGTGCATTTACATACAGGAAATACACTCATACAAAACAAAACAAAAAAATTCCTTGCTGAATATCATGAGGATCTAAATTTGGATCTCAGCATGCTTGTTTAAGATAAGCTAGGTACCCTGCACACACCTATAACCCCTGGCCGAGACAGAAGAGGAGATAGGGGGATCTCTATTGCTTACTGGCTTCCAGCCTAGCATAAAAAGCAAGCCCTAGTTTCAGGGCAAGACCCTGCCTCAAAAGAACAGGCAGAAAGTTACAGAGGACATGCAAAGCCCTCTTCTGACCTATCTATACACACACAGTCTTTATAAAAACATCTGACTGTTTTCCCCTCTTTCCCATCTCTTAGAAAAGTGATTAATTTCCTAATTACCTCATAAAAGACATAGAAAATAACCTTAAATACTAATTTAACCAAAAATACTCTTGCTCCCTAAGTCTTAGCAAAATGTCTAATATAACATCTGAATATTCCTCACAGCACCATATATAAACAGACACTGAGCCATGAGGGAAGTCAAATGACTCGTAATTTGTATAAGGGATCCAAACTTAAGTTTGGCTTCAAATCTGTGGTCACAATCACTACCATTTCATATCTCTATACACATTATCAAAATAATCAAGAAATTAATCAATGTAGTCTTCGTTGTTTTACTATAATTAGGATGACAAAAGTTCTAATATATATCAAAGCAAATCAAATTTGAATTTTTCAATTCCATCTGTATTTTATATAAGAAAAACTAAAAAGCGAAAGCACATTTTACTTTTCTAAGTAGCTCTAAGCCAAGAACTATTCAGATATTGTAATTCTAGACAATTATTTTAGGCATGTTTCAGTTATTAGTATATATACTAGACATTACAGTTAAAATCAAAATCTTATCTAATATTTATTAAAAAGAAAAACTCACATACCTCAGTTCCTTGGTCTGTAGATCTATAGGATCGTGAGTTTCACTGTCCATGTGGAATCGAACTTCTGGAGAAGAGAGAGTCAAAGCCCTGAATGAAATTGAGAGAAATTAATCAAATGAGCCAAGAATAGAGAAAATATTCTGAAAGATTCCTGTAAAATAGAAAACAAGTATAACAAGTACCTAAGAACTGCTCTTTTGAAGGCTTTATGACCATGTGCTAAGTTACATGGTCTATTTGCATGCATGGCATAGTATTATGCGTCTGAGGAAGTGAGAATCTGCTGAATCCAAAACTGTTTTTACTGAGCTATATAAATTGGTAACCACTTTTCTTTAAAAAAAAAAAAAAAAAAGGAAGTGACTACAGTATTTTATTTAGCATGGAAAACAAAGTATTGTGGTGGGCAATGATACAGATAAAGGACACTTACTTCCATGGGTAGTAATAACATCCTAAGATATATAGCCAAAAGTGTATTCTATGGCTAGAGAGATAGCTCAGTGGATAAGAGCACTGGCTACTCTTGCAGAGGCCCCAGGTTTGGTTCTCAGCACCCATACGGCAGCTAACAACTGTCCATAACACCACTTCCAGGGTACTCTATGCCCCTCTTCTGGTTTCCACAGGCAATGCACTACACAAATACATTTATATAAATTCAGGCAAAACACTCATACACATAAAAATAGATTTTGAAAAAGTGTATTTTACGAAGAGTCAATCAATGGAGGGGAATCTGATAAATTACTATCACTGACATAAGGACTGACAGCTATTTATGTTTGACTACTATGGGCCTCAGATGATATGCCAAGCTAATGGTTTTTCATGCATGGTTCACTCAATGAGGTGACTAGTTCTTTGCAAAGTTAATTCTCACAAGGTTACATTCATTAATGCATCTTCCTATCTGATGCAATGTTTATCAAGTCATTCCCAAATCACCCTTAAGAATTTTGATAAAGCTAGAGAATCTTGATCAATTATGCAAAAGTTAAAAAGTGGAGGGAAAAAAAGCCCAAGATGAGTTAAGTGAAATTCTAAGTGTTTGTCCATCTCTGTTCCTTATCTAAAAGGCTATAGAAGGAACATTAATAAGAGAATCTTGCATATACTCACACCCAGACACACAAACATAACTTATCTAAAAGGCTATAGAAGGAACATTAATAAGAGAATCTTGCATATGCTCACAGCCAGACACACAAACATAACTAAAAAATAAACTTTTTAAAAGTTAAAACATATTTCCATTTTTAAAGGAACCCAAGTTTGCTTTTGTCTCAAAAAGACAAAAAAAAAGTTTTTTTTTTATTTATTTGTATGTGTGTGTATGAAGTGTTTTGCCTGCATGTAAGTAAGTGTACCATGTGTGTGTAATGCCTGCAGAACCCAGAAAACATCATCTGATCCCCTGGAACTCGAGTTATGGACAGTCATTAGCAAGCATATGGTGCTGGGAACCAAATCCAGGTCCTCTTGAAAAGCAGTCAGTGCTCTTTACCACTGAGCAATCCCTCCAGCCCCCATATTCTTACTTTTGAAAAACTGTTACAAATTTACATCTTACCTAACTTTTGTGGTGTTAAGGATGGAACCTAGGGCCTCACACATGGTATAAGTACACATCTTACTCATTAAATTATACTCTGTATAACCTCTACTAACTCTCAAATGCACTGCATTTGAATGCAAGTGCATTCAATTACATTTATTTAAACATCTGAAAACAAACGTTCTATCTGGAAAACATTTCTAATTACAATAAGAAACATTCTGTAAGTCTAAAGAGTTGTTCTTCCTGGAATTTCTTCAAGATCTTTATTTAATTTAGATGTTATCTTTGAGCACAATTCCTGAATAAATATGAACCCAGAGCCAAGCTTCTAATATATGAAAGGTAGTTAGGAGTGGGACAGCTCTACTTAAATATTCAGTCTATAAGCTAATCACTGTTCATAATAAAACACTAAAAAAGCCAAAAGTTATTGCAATATCATAGTAATTAAGCCATGTCTTTATAATAGAAGTTTTGAAACATACCCCTTTTCAATTCTTCCTTTTTTTAGAATTTTAGCTAGTTTATTTAGTCCACGGAGACTAGTGGTAATATCGTCATTCATGGTTGCTGAATCAATTCTCATCTGAGCTTCAGCGTATGTAAGGGAAGCCTAAGAAAGAAACTTTATGTTAATATAATTCTCATAAATGATAAAACATACTATTTATAAACTGTATTTTTTGTGTGTGTGAAAAAGAGAGAGAGAGAGAGAGAGAGAGACAGAGAGAGACAGAGAGAGAGAGAGACAGAGAACAGGCCCACACACAACAACATACACAAGTGGAGGCAAGAAGACACAGCAGA